GGGGGGAACTCGTACAATACTTTACCGGGGACAATTTTCTGATGTAATCATCCCGATCAGTTCGATATATGTATGGCATATTTCCGTATAAAATGTTATAGCAGAGTGGCGCATTGGAAGCGTGCTGGGCCCAGAGGTCCGAGGATCGAAACCTCGCTCTGCTAATTATTTCTTTATGCTTTCGGTAGATATTTTGTCGAATACAATACAATACCGCCTCAAAAAATGGTGAAAAAAATGTATGTGTGTAAAATAATAATTCATTGTCGTCCCTCCTCCAGATTATATAGGGTTAACACGTCGTTAAATCATTTTATCACTATTTGGCAGATACAATTATTTAAAAAGAGTAACACATATAGGTTCTTGTCAAGTTCTCCTCTACATTCTGTTGAATACACGTGAACTATAATGCTGATATTTGGTGACTTGTAATAATTAAATGACATTTTATTATTTGCTTTTAGAATAAGGTACTTACACTTGGAGATTGCCAAGCCTTCAGCTAGACTAACTCTATCAATCTGAAACAATTCTGCAACTATCTATAATGCACTCAAGTTAATAGTTCCTATCCCTCCAGATACTTCAGTACATTTTTAGTACATGTCCTTTTATACATTTTGTTATCGTATCCTTGCTGACTTCTAACCTATCTAGTAACCCAGGCATGTCTGGACACATTTCATATTCATATAATGTTGTACTATTGTTTGATGCGTTTTTAATTGTATATTACGTGTTTGTCACGTAAATAACAACATTTTATTAATTGGATTAATTGTCCCTGTCCCTTCGGATACCTAAGTTAATATCCCCTGTCCCCCGAAAAACTAATTATAGTAAAAATATGAACATTTAAAATATATAACGTTAATAAATTGCTTAGTGTCAGTGTCACGCAGCATACATTGTCCAAAAACTCGCTCTCTCTCGAGAAGAAATATGGCCAATGTGATAGACCCATCACTGAACTATAGAATACCCCGTAATTTTTACTTTAGCAGGAAGAAACCACAAAGGTGACACACAGATCTCGTCTTTGAATAAAACAGGTACAAAATATATAATGTAGCAGGACTTCTCCATAACATCTGCACAATCATTTTCACTGTTGCCTATTGCCAAACTATAAAACAAAACAGCGCAAAGCAACTTCTATTGTTATTACATTGTGACGTCATGCTTATTATGACGTCACTCCTTGTTACTTCATAGCTACGGCTTAGTGTTAACTGCAATCTTGCGCTCTGCTAATATTTACCACATTTAAGCGACTTAATGATGATAATGGAAGACGTATTAATTCCAGACATTGCGAGCATCGCTCGATTCACCAGAAAAACGTAAGCATGGTCGTCTGTTTTAGTACCTAACATTGTTTATCATGTAGATTCAATGTACGTGTATTACTCGTTGTCTTATCCGTTCATTGTAGCACATAATTTGTATTTCCCAAAAGTGGGCAATATTCGTTACAGGTTCATGTGATTGTATACGTTTGCTTGTACATTCATGCAGCGTTTCAAACATCTTTACAAGATACTAAATAATACATGTTCCAGTTTCATTTTGTGTCTTGTATTGAAAAAAATAGCAAAGCTCAGCAGAATTATTTATTTCAGTTTATATATAAATCTTACAGTATAATCCACTGTATAGAGTTGAACGTCGCATATAAAAGAAATAGTCACTGATGCTAATAGCAGTTTTAGTTCCAGTACATTACGATAGATCACTAGTACTTATCATAGAAGCCCTAGTTCCGGTACGTTCCGGTACTTCACTTGTGCTACATGTAATGCCAGCCCTAGTTTCAGTACTTTAGGTTATATCACTGGTGCCAATGGCATATCTAGTTCCGGCTCACTGTTTCGGACACCAGATGATGCTCTGGTACATTACGGTACACCACTAGTACTTATCATAGTAGCCATAGTTCCGGTACATTATGGTACATCACTGGTGCTGACACTAGCTTTAGTTCCGGTACATTATGGTACACAACTGGTAATGACATCAGCTTTAGTTCCGGTACATTATGGTACATCACTGGTAATGACATCAACTTTAGTTCCGGTACGTTATGGTACATCACTGGTGCTGACACTAGCTTTAGTTACGGTACGTTATGGTACATCACTGGTGCTGACACTAGCTTTAGTTCCGGTACATTATGGTACATCACTGGTGCTGACACTAGCTTTAGTTCCGGTACATTAGAGTAAATCACTGGTACTAATAGAAGCTGTGGTTCTTCTACCTATACCGGATACTGACCAACTTCAACAATTTGAAGATTTATATAAGAGGAGGGTTTAGATGGAAAAAGGAACATTTTAGACATTCAAAATTTGGTTTGTTTTTGCAAAGTGACGGTAGTGGCTTGTTTCCAATGAGTTTGTTAGTTTCGGTACGTAAGGTACTTCACTGGTGTTGAAGGCAGCTCTAGTTCCGGTACACTAGGTTATATCAACGGTGCCGATGGCAGCTCTAGTTCTGGTACACCAGGTTATATCAACGGTGCTGGTGGCAGCTCTAGTTCCGGTACACTAGGTTATATCAACGGTGCTGGTGGCAGCTCTAGTTCCGGTACACTAGATTATATCAACTGTGCCGATGGCAGCACAAGTTCCGGTACACAAGGTTATATCAACGTTGTTGATGGCAGCTCTAGTTCCGGTACACTAGGTTATATCAACGGTGCCGATGGCTGCTCTAATTCCGGTACACTAGGTCATATCAACGGTGACGATGACAGCTCTAGTTCCGGTACACTAGGTTATATCAACGGTGCTGATGGCAGCTCTAGTTCCGTTACATTAGCTTATATCAACGGTGCCGATGGCAGCTCTAGTTCCGGTACACAAGGTTATATCACCGGTGCTGATGGTAGCTTTAGTTCCGATACACTAGGTTATATCAACGGTGCCAATGGTAGCTCTAGTTCCGGTACACTAGGTTATATCAACGGTTCCGATGGCAGCTCTAGTTCCGGTACACTAGGTTATATCAACGGTGCCGATGGCAGCTCTAGTTCCGTTACATTAGGTTATATCAACGGTGCTGATGGCAGCTCTAGTTCCGGTACACTAGGTTATATCAACGGTGCTGATGGCAGCTCTAGTTCCGTTACATTAGTTATATCAACGGTGCCGATGGCAGTTCTAGTTCCGGTACACTAGGTTATATCAACGGTGCTGATGGCAGCTCTAGTTTCGGTACATTATTGTTTATGAATGATGCTTAAAACAGCCCTAGTTCCGATACATAACGGTACTTCACCGGTGCCGATGGCAGTTCTAGGCTCGATAGTTACTGTTCTTAAATTATACTTTCAACAGCACTAGTTCCGATACATAACGGTACATCACCGGTGCTGATGGCAGTTCTAGGCCCGGTAATTACTGTTCACGAATGATACGTAAAACATCAAAAGTACTAATAGAAGCTCTAGTTCCGGTACATTATTGTACATCACTGGTGCTGATGGCAGCTCTACTTCCGGTTATTAACGGACATTACTGGTGCTGATGGCGGCTCTAGTTCCGTTACATCACTGGTGCTGATGGCAGCTCTACTTCCGGTACATCACTGGTACTTAAAACGGCTCTAGTTCCGGTACATCACTGGTACTGATAGAGATTCTAGTTCCGGTACATCACTGGTACTGAAAACGACTCTAGTTGCGGTACATCACTGGTACTGATAGAGACTCTAGTTCCGGTACATCGCTGGTACTGATAGAGACTCTAGTTCCGGTACATCACTGGTACTGATAGCTATTCTAGTGCCGGTACATCACTGGTACTAATAACGACTCTAGTGCTGGTACATCGCTGGTACATCGGAGATCCCGTCGAAAACTT